AGATGTTATTGGATCCTCTTAATAAATGATGAAGTGAAAGTTATCCCCCTTCAGAAGTGGAGGAGCAAAGGGTGAGAGAGGGCAAGTCGTTTACCTGTGGCTACACAGCAAGCAAGAAGCATAGCTGGAGCCACATTGGAGCTCCCTGGTTGGCTTTGGTCTAGCATGTTCCACTCTGAGAGGTTCTAGGTAGCTCTGGGGTAGGGCTCACTGGTTCGGTGACTCTAAGGTTCGGTGGCTCTCATGGCCCAGGGTAGGCAGGTGGGCAGCAATGGTCAGGTACCCAGTGCAGGAGCTTGGATCCTCAGGGTGCCCGGGTGAAGGTGGGGCTCCTCTGGTCTGGACTGCCACCACCAGAGGGCGCAGCTGTTGCTCAGGTGAGGGGTGAGGGGCGGCCCACTTCTAAAAGCTTCTGGAACCCAGTGGCCTACTGGAGCGGGAAGCTGCCTCTTATGTAGTGTGGGAGGCCCCTGTCGCTTTCCTGTCTGTAAGCCAAGGCCTTTCGGATCCTTCTCTCCTAGCTTCCCACACGCTTGGCTCCAGGTATCAGATTTCTTCAGCCCTGGGGGTCAGGAAGCCTGGGGTCCGACAGCGCTCAGACTTCATAACTGCTTCTGCTTGGCCCAGAGCCTCCGTTAGTCTCTAGGCTGAAGTTGTGCCAAACACTGGATCGCCACCTCTGTCACCTCTGGTTATTATTATTATTGTCGTTGTTATTTGCATGAGTTGGGGTGGCGTGGGTGTTGCTGGAGGGAGCTGTGATCACTAATAGGGCCCTGAGATGGGGAGGAAGCATCCTGGGTTCCCAGCCTGCCAGGAGGCCCCTAGAGGGGCACAGAGGGCTCCGAATTTCTGCCTGAGTAACACTGAAGCAGCCAGGGAAAACTCCCTATGCTCAGACACCTCCCTCTCCACCTCCTGTGAAAGGGGAGCATCTCCCCTCCCCCATTGCTCTACCAGGTTTCTGCCTGGGTCCTGCCACCCTCCTTCCTCCACCCTAGGCCTACCAGCCTGCCTCCCTCCCCAAGTTTAGGCCCTTGGCTGTGGCCACCTAGGGCCTGGCGAGGGTCCCAGGCACCACACCGCAGCAGCCAGCCTCCAGCCTCTGCTCCGGACAGTCCCAGTCTGTCTGGCAGGGCTGGCAGATTAGGGATTGGCTGGAGCTGCCCCCGCCTTTGCGAGGAGGGGAGGCCCGGTGGCTCACCCAAGGTCACCCTTCCTTTTCTTTCCCAGCATCCCTGTCCAACCCTTGTCCCTCTGCCTCACCTTGAAGAGCGAGGAGGCAAGATGCCTAGCAGGTCTAGCACACAGGAGCTCAGCTGAGGGGAAGGGCTGTGGGTTCCTGATATCCGTTGTCTCCTTCAGCAAATGCTGAGTGCCTGCTGTATGCTAGGCTTTAAGAACACAGCAGGGAACACAATGACACAAGCTATCAAGCACGTTTGTGTCTGTGAACTGGGTGGTAAATCAATGAGTTGCCGGAGCAGGCTTTCCTGAGGAGCTGAGGGCCAAGGAGCCTTTCAGCGCCTAGGCGAGGGAGGCAAGCTTCAGGCAGAGACCTGTATGGAGCCAAGAAAGCCCCAGATCCCTCATCTGGAAGATCACAGAGGATAAATGTGGCTGGTTGTGGGCTTGGGCTTGCTGAGAGGCAGCCTGTGCCCTGGCTTGCAGCCCTAAGAAGAAGGCAGGGCGCTGTTGTTCCCTCCCTGTGGGCCAAGAGTAGAAGCTCATCCGTCAAAATGGCGGGAGAGCATTCCCGGGAGACCTGAGCTCTAGCCAGGCTTGCAGGTGGCCTCAGGGAGGTGAGGGACCCGATTCTTGCTGCTCGCTTCTGTGCTTCCTCAGGCTGCCTGAGAGGAGGGGCTGGTCCCTAGCTGCCTGGCTCCCTTATCACATCCCCTATTTCTGGCCACGTGGCACCTCTGAGGGAAGAAGATTCTTCACCTTAGGACTTGGGGAACTAGAGTGGGTGGGACCTGGGGTACGCCTTGACTGGGTTCTGTGGCATAGCCACACCCCACAGCCCCAGGGCCAGCAGGGAGGGGGAGCTGTCTCTTTAAGAGCCTCCAGCCTGCTAGGAGCAGATGGCCAGACCGGCCGGGGCCCCTTGTCCTTTGTGTGCCTTCGCACAAAAGAGGGGGCCAGCTGGGGAGGGGGTGGCTGCAGCAGGTGGGAGGGGCGGGACCTTGCCTCTCCTTGCAGCTTGGGGATGAAATAGATCACTTGGAAGCAGCCCTTCCCTGTACCCTGTGGCCCCCACAGTTGTCCCTAAACTCCTCTGATGCCCCTCCTGTGTTGTGTCTGACCTCCTTGGCTCACTCTGTCAGGGCTTCCAGACAGCTCCCTTACCTCAATAAACAAACAAATAAATAAATGAAGACTAAAGCTTCCCTGCCCCCCTCCCAGAGTAGGATCTTCCTTTGGTGTGTGTCTTGGAGGGTGGAGGGCGGCAGCAGGGTTGGCACCAGGGATAAGTGAGAACGGAATTGGGTCCCAGCGGGTGAGAGAAGTGGCCGTGGGACAGAAGAGAAGCCAGTGGCTTGGGACCCTTGCTAGGCCTCGTGTTGGGGCACCTGGGGCAGCCCTGGAGGAAGGAAACAAGAACTAACCTTGATGCTTGAGGGGTGGGTAAGGCCTTGGCCTAGCATCCTAGGTTCTACTATGGAAGGAAGCAAGTGGAGGATGAGAGATCCAAGAAGCCTTCCCTAATGGGCACCAGAAGCAAGAAAGACGCCATTGTAGGAGAGGGTGGAGTGCCCAGTGGTTGCTAGCTAGGCGAAGGCACAGAAATAGGAACACTCACTAAAAGGTAGAGGTGTTGGGGACAGGTCTGGACCCCTGGCACTCATTTCTAGGGGTCACCGGCAAGTCACTTTGCCTCTTGGAACAGACCCCTTCAGCTCAGATCGCCTCTGGTTCATTCATTCTTTCTTTGTCCCAGATCTCCCCTCCCTGGGGCTTGGTGCCCAGCTCATGATTTAAGGGGAGGAAAAAGGCCCCATAACCCTGGCCCGAGGTGTGGCCAGAGGCAACGTGGCCTCTGACTGGGTGGCCCTATGTGGCTCGACAGCGCTGAAGTCGGGTGAGGTCGTGTTTGACTCTGCTGGCCGCAGGCAAGGAGCCCCCAGGAACAGGATGCCCCAGCCAGGTCGTGGCCTGACCGCAGGACCCGGGCCGGTCAGCCACAGCCAGTGGGTGGGGGCAGGGATCCCCGGTTGGGGCCAGGGCTGCTTCTAAATTTAGGAATCTGATTACAGAGTGGCCAAGGAAGGGAAGGGAGAGGAGGGTGCGAGTGCAGGCTCGGCTCGATCTGGGCATAGCGGGGTGTGCCCTGATAGAGGCGTGTCCAGGAGTCCGGGCTCCCCGTGGGAGGGGCAGCGGGCGGGGGCTTCGGCCTGTGTGAGCTGCAGCACGTGCCCCAGGCGGCGGGGACGGGCACAGGCGCAGCTCGCAGGATTCGAGCTGCTGCCGGTGAGTGCGCTGGCTCTTTGTGTGCCTGGCAGGGTGGCTGGGTCTGGCTTTGAAAGTCTCTGCCCACCCCCTCCCCCAACTCCGTCTGTGCCTCCCAACCCGCTTCCCTGTCTGTCACTCTGCCCGTGCCTGTCCTGGGGGAGGGGGATGCTGCTTCCAGCTGGGGTGACAGTGAACCCAGTGGGGGTCTCACCCCCTTCAGCCCAGACCTGGGCCTATAGCTTCCATGCCCATCCATCAGTCTTTGGTACCACTGTTTTGGGGAGCAGACTGCAGCAGTTGAGAGACACTAGGTGACCCCTGGGGACCCACAGACCCAACAGAAGTCAGGTTCTGGCCCAGTAGCTCTTGGAGAGATTCATCCTGCGCCTGTCCGCCCTCCCATCCGCCTTGGCCCCCAAGGGCGCATGAAAGGGGGGGTCCCCCTGCGGAAGGGGGGGCAGGGAGTTCCTTGGCAGGAAGGGAAATGGAAGGAAAAGCTGGGCTCCACCCGGGCGGGCGGACAGGCAGCCTCGGGGCCCCCGGGGCAGGCCACAGTAACCGGAGCCCACTAGTGTGTGGAACCCGTGTGCTTGTGGGTGAGGTTGACCCCGGGCTTCTCCTGGGGGGCACTGGGGTCTACCCACAGGGGCTGAGTCTGAGAGCTCAGAGACACCAGGGGTGCTCCCTGGGGGGTACGAGTGCCCCATCCTGGTCCTGACCCCACCCCCTGGAGGTCTAGCCCCGGCCCCAGGCCCCGCCCCCCGGGCCCTCCCTCCCACCCCAGGGCCAGATGTTCAGCTGGCGGAGGCATCGGCTGGGGGAGGGGTGCTGAGGCCGCAGCCGGCACTACTTCCCTGCCAGCAGCTTCATTGTGTGCGCGAGGAGCGAGCGGCGGCGGAGAGCGGGCGAGCGAGCGGCGGCAGCGCGAGCGCGGCGAGGCGAGCGAGCGCGCCGGGGAGGGTGCGAGGCGGCGCCCGCGGCTGCGCTCCGCCCGCCTCCCGGCAACTCTGCTCCAGCGCCGCACGCCGTGCGCGTCGTCCCGCCGCCAGGGCCACCTCTGGCTGGCGTGGCTGCCGTGGGGTCTGGTCGGGCAGGGTCCCCTCATTGGGGACCGGGGCATCCTCGGCACAACCGAGGGACGCGGAGTCCGCAGCGGCGGCTACTGCGCGGCAGCCCTCGCCCGCCGAACGGCGTGGGCAGGCGCGCGGCGCGGCTCCGGGGCTCCCCGAGGGCAGCGCGCCCCGACTCTTCCCGGGGGGAGCCCCAACCCTGAGGGGCGTACGGAGCGAGCGTGCCCCCGGCCGCGCCGTCCCCCACGTATCCCCATCCCCACTTCTTCACAAACTTTTCTGCCGTCCTCGCCCGTGGGGGTCGCAGTGAGCGTTAGGGCTGCCCTCCGGGCCCTCGACCTCTCGGACCCTAGCCACGCTGACCTCCCGCCTCTCGTAGCCTCAGTGGCGACCCCTCCAGGCCGGGCCGGGCGCGGCACTCGAGGCAAGCGCGGCAAGCTCCGGCGCTCTCCAAAGGCTCCTGCGCCCCCCGGGGCAGCCGGGCAGGGTAATGCCCTCAGTGATGGAGAAGCCCAGTGCGGGCTCCGGGATCCTGTCCCGAAGTCGGGCCAAGACGGCACCCAACGGCGCACAGCCGCACTCGGAGGATGACAGCAGCGAGGAGGAGCACTCTCACGGTGAGCCCCTGGTGGCCTAGGGTTAAAGGCGCGCTGGTCCGGGGAGGGAACACGGAAGGTGGGGATGGGGAGAGTTGCAAACCACAGATGGTTTTCTGCCGCTCCTGGATTGCAGCCTCTGCCTTCTCATGCTTACTGCTGCCGGCACGGGAAATCTACAAGCCGGGCCCTTGACCACCCACCTTCCTTCTGCCCTCAGTCGCTGAGGGTGCTTAGGGTGCCTCACTGAGATGGATTGGGTCCCTCGTACCTTACAGCCTTGCAGGGGATTGAGGTGTGATTGGATCAGGGGCTGGAAAGACACCTCCATGCGGGGCTGTGAAGCTCGTGGTGGGGAGGAGTCCCAGGTTCCTGGCAAGGCTGTGGTCCAGGTCTAGGGGCAGCCCTCCAAGCTCCCACCCCCAGCCAGAACAAAGCACTTTGCTCTGGCCTGGGCTTTTAAAGTGTCCTCTTAACCTCCCCCTCCCCCCATGGCCATGACTAGGCAGGGTCCCTCTCTCCTAGTCCCCTCTGTCTCAGAGGGTAGCTGGGGGAGGGAGGGCGACCATCAAGGAAGTCTCCTGGGAGGTGGGGCCCCTGAGCGGTCAGGAAGGAGAACTCCAGATGAGCCACTTCTCCCACCATGTCCTTCCCCCCACTTCCCTGGAGTCTTGACTGCCTCCTCTGGCTCCACAGACAGCATGATCCGTGTTGGAACCAATTACCAAGCAGTAATTCCAGAGTGCAAGCCTGGTGAGTGGCAGGACAGACATGGAGGGAGGGGTGGAGGCTGATGGCTTGGCCTGCAGCCCCACCTGGGAACTCTTGGCTGCTTCCTGCTTGAGGGCCAGGCGGTGGGCGGGGTGGGTGGCCCCGTGGCACTGTTACTTTTCCTGCTCTGCTTTCTTGTCTGGGTCTCTGCTCCTCCTTCCCTTCTGGGCCTCACCTTCCAGCTTGACTGTGTTGCTCAGTGGTGTCCTGTTTCTGTGAGTTCCACCAGACTAATTCTGCTCTTCTGCTTTTCAGAGAGCCCTGCGCGCTATAGCAACAAGGAGCTGAAGGGGATGCTGGTGTGGTCCCCCAACCACTGTGTATCAGATGCCAAACGTGAGTGGGGTGGGCCCCAGTCAGGCTCAGTCTTGGGAGCCCGGCTCCAGGTCCTGTCCGCAAGCCAGCTCTTCCTTAGAAGTGGGCTGTTAGTCCCATCTACATGGAAGTCTGTGGTAGGCGCATTGCTATAGCCTAGGAGCCTGAGACCAGCCTGGGCAATATAAAGAAGGCAGCTATAGGCCGACAAGTGGTCCTTGCTTTGGCGGGCATTCCCCTTAGTGACCCCCCTCCTTCCCCTTACAGTTGACAAGTACATTGCCATGGCCAAGGAGAAGCATGGCTACAACATTGAGCAGGTGGGCTGGGGGTCCTGAGGGATGGGAGTGGGACAGGGTAATACAGTACTGGGGTGGCAGAACCTGAGCTGCTTCTGTCCTGGGCCAGGCACTCGGTATGCTTCTGTGGCATAAACATGATGTGGAGAAATCGCTGGCTGACCTCGCCAACTTCACCCCCTTCCCTGATGAGTGGACGGTAGAGGACAAGGTGCTGTTTGAACAGGCCTTTGGATTCCATGGCAAGTGCTTCCAGCGGATCCAGCAGATGGTAAGCTTACGTCCATGGTCCATCTAGTGCTCCTCAGCCCTTCATCAGTCCCAAACAGCTTACCTGGGGCCAGAGTCTCAGGTGGACTCCTATTTCTGGCCTTGCCTCCCCAGCTACCTGACAAGCTGATTCCCAGCCTGGTGAAGTATTACTACTCTTGGAAGAAGACCCGAAGTCGAACTAGTGTGATGGACAGGCAGGCCAGGCGGCTGGGTGGCCGCAAGGACAAAGAAGACAGGTGGGGGTGGGGGCTGCTGGTAGGGGGCAGGGGTCTGACAATAATCTGGGTTGGGCCTTCCCTCATTTTCTCCATGGCCCTGTGTCAGCAGTGATGAACTTGAAGAGGGACGAGGAACTGTGAGTGAGGGAGAACCAGATACTGGAGACCCCAAGCGAGAGGTGAGTTCCCTGGCTGCTCTGCCCTGCCCACTCCTCAGCTTGTCCCCAGACTGCACACAGTATTCTTTCCCTTCAGCCTCTGCCATCTCGACCTCTGAATGCACGGCCTGGTCCTGGGAAGAAGGAGGTCCAGGTGTCTCAGTACCGCCACCACCCGCTTCGAACTCGGAGACGTCCGCCCAAGGGCATGTACCTGAGCCCTGAAGGCCTCACTGCAGTCTCGGGAAGCCCAGACCTCGCTAACCTCACACTCCGAGGTCTCGACTCACAGCTCATCTCTCTTAAGCGCCAGGTGGGGGCCCAAGGAAAGGGGGCCATCAGTTCCTGAGACCTGTGATGAGGCAGCTGAGGTATAAGGGAGATGGTGCAGTGCCAAGCCTGGCTCTGTCCCACTGTCAGGAACGTAGGATAACTTGACATTCTTTTCTGCTTTGTGTGTATGTGTGCGCGTGTGCTCATGCATGCATGCACACACCATGATACTCCTGTGGTTCTCTGTTTACCTTTATATGAGTTCTGGTGATCAGGTTAAGGTCTTTGGGCTTTGTAGCAAGCGCTTTTACCCTGCCAGCTCCCTAGCCTCTTTTTGGAATGGGGAACTAGGTCTCCTGTATCCCAGGATAGTCTCAAATTTGTTCTGTAATAGGATAACTTTGAGATCAAACTCAAGTCAGTGATCAAACTCAGGATCAGGATCAGTGGCAAGAAAGGCCGTGCAAGATGTATGTGTACATAGCGTGCACACGAGCACACGCCCTGTGGTGCCTGTGTGCCTCTCTCCACCTTTACACAGCCTGGTCTGGGGGATAAGTTCAAGTCTTCAGGCTTGTGGTAAGCACCTTTATCTGCCTAACTGTCTCACCCCTTGGCCTAGCAAGCTCCAAGACCTGGTCTTAGTGAAAAAGAAAGCTTGGTGCTGCAGTAAGCGCCTGTAATCCTGACACTTGGGTGGTGGAGGTAGAGAATTAGGAGGTCAAGGCTAGCCTCAGCTTTATAACAAGTTTGAGGTCAGTGGGTCCCTCCAAACAAAACAAAACACCAGTAACTCAAACAAAAAGGCCTGCCAACATAGCCCAGTCACCAGTGTTCTGAGGTTGTAAGGAAGGAATGGCCTGGTGGTGGGAGCCCAGTTCTCTCCTGGGAGAAGGAGGGCCTGGGTGAGGGGGTGGTGCTGGCCTTCGTGGGATGCGGATGTCCCTGCTCTTTTCTCCTTCTTGACCTTTGTAGGTTCAGAGCATGAAGCAGACCAACAGCAGCCTCCGCCAAGCACTGGAGGGCGGCATTGACCCCCTCCGCCCGCCTGAGGTATGGTTGTTCTGTTTATTTGGGGTGCAGAAGGGTTTTCCCCAGAGGCAGGACAACTGGGGAGGGCCAGGGCTCACCTAGGAATCATACATTTTTCTAAAACTTGCAGGGATCGGTTCTATCTTTCCATGCTGTGGGTCTTGGGGATCCAACAAATCATCAGGCTTGGTGGAAGAAGCCTTTACCTGCTAACTAGCTTCCATACACAGTTTTAAAGACTTTTTTTCTGTGTATGAGTGTTTGCCTGTATCTGTGTAAGCGCATATGTGTATCTGCTGCCCGTGGAGGCCAGAAGAGGGCACCAGATACCCGAGGTTGTGAGCCATCTCTCTTTCCCCTCCCTCCCTTTCCATATTTTTAGTATAATGGTTATTTATATTCCTTGCTTCCTGCTTTCCAGGCCAATACCAAGTTCAACTCCCGCTGGACCACAGATGAGCAACTTCTGGCTGTACAAGGTAGGTCAGGCCATGGCTAGTACCAAGAACTCTAGAGACCTCGGTACTCTAGAAACCTCTCTTACCTTTCCAGGAGCTGAAAGTGGAGGGGAAGTAAGTAGTCCGGAGGGGCATTTACAGTCTGCTGCCCTTTTTGACCCTTGCAGCTATTCGTAGATATGGCAAAGACTTTGGGGCTATTGCAGAGGTGATTGGGAACAAGACTTTGACCCAAGTGAAGACCTTCTTTGTGAGCTACCGTCGCCGCTTCAACTTGGAAGAGGTGCTACAAGAATGGGAGGCTGAGCAGGATGGGGCCCCTGCAGCTCCAGTCCCCGTGGAAGAGGCCAGGCGAGGGGCTCCCGTGCCAGCCCCAGCCCTAGAAGAAGATGATGAGGTGAGAAGCAGGGGATGTAGTCTTCAGAGAGGAGAGGCCAGTGTGCAGGAACAGCCTCCTCACTCTTTTCTCTCCCCTCAGGTACAGATTACATCTGTCTCAACATCAGTCCCCCGCCCAGTCCCCCCTGCGCCGCCCCCGCCTCCGCCGCCCACCTCGCTTTCCCAGCCACCTCCACTGCTGAGGCCACCTCTGCCCACAGCTCCCACATTGCTCCGCCAGCCACCTCCCCTGCAGCAGGGACGCTTCCTGCAACCCCGGCTGGCCCCCAACCAGCCCCCACCACCGCTCATCCGCCCTGCCCTGGCTGCCTCTCGCCACAGTGCCCGCCCTGGGCCTCAGCCTCCACCCACCCTGATTGGAGCCCCCTTGGAGCCCCCTGCACCCTCACTTTGAGCCCTGGATCTTCCACTGCCCAGAAGCTCCTGAAGCCTTTGGCTGGATATTGCTGGCATCACTAAGGACAGAAGGGACTAGGGCTCTTGCCAGGTCTTTCAAATACCCAGAGCTGCCAGTTGGCACAGATTGGACCTGTGGGTTCTGCATGTGTTCCTGGCAGCTGAGCTTGTCAACCCCCAGCCAGGGGCTAGAGCTCAGGATCTGCAGGGACTCTGCTTCCTGGCTGTGACTGGAATGGCTGCCTCCTTGCCTGCCTGCCTGCCTAGGGCTTGGCCTCTGGGCCTACCCTTTGTGTGGGGGTAGTGACTTTAGCATGGGGGATGGGGGAGAGGCCAGTTGGGTTTGCTGGCCTCATTCACCTTTCCCTCCTTTTAGCAATAAGTCAGGTGCAGTGGGAGGGTACTGGGGTGGGGACGCCAGAGACCCCGTGGGAAGAATGTCAGAAGCTGTGAGGAGGTCTACTTTGTCCACCCTGAAAAGGCTTGGAGAAAGGAGGGTTGGGGACTTACACAGACATGGGTTTATTTTTCAACATTTTTAAAAAAGAAATAAATGCGACATCTTAAATGTATGAGCCTTTCATGTCTGTGCTGAGGGTGGGAGGGATCTGGCCATCCAGCATTGGCCTCCCCTAGGATCTAGACAGTAACTAGTTCTCTTCTGCAAGGCAGGCAGGCTAGGCCACATCTTGCCCTGCGGGTGGGGGTGTGCTTGTGTGCCTGTGCAAGTGGGGTTGAGTACTGGGTCCCTGCCCAGCAGGGAGAAGGAACAGGAGGCAGTAGCTCAGATTCCAAACATTCTCTTTATTACGTGTTTGATCCAGAGGAGAAACTAAGTGCAGGGTGGGGGAAGAGGGGGCTAGGCAGGGAGGGGCCACCTTGCCTGGGTGTCCCAGCCCCCACCCCATTCGTTGGGAGCCAAGCCATGCCCTCCCGGCCCCCTTGGAGCACCCGGGCTGTTCCATAGGGCAAGAGGGAGGAGGAGGAGGAGCCCTTGGTCTGAGCCATAGCCAGTGGAGCACGGGGCTGGAGGGTTGAGGTTGGCAAGGTTTCTTCCTGGAACCCAAGGACCCAACATGTGGCTGAGTCTGGCCTGGTCTGGGAGCCAGGGTGATAAACGGGTGAGGGTGGGGAGTGACAGGACGACACTGGGGCTAGGGGTGGAGTCATCGTAAGTCAAAACGAAACAAAAAAAAAAAAAAAAGAAAAAAATAAGATAAAATAAAAAAAACCCATCACAAAAAAAAAATATACAACTCAGGTGAGGGCAGGGGCAGCCTCTGTGGGACTCCCCCAATTTCTCAGGAACTGAAACAGCAGAGAAATAAATTAAGGGATGCAGTGGCCACCACCAGCCAAGCGCCTATAGCCACCCATTCACACACTGGCCATGGAGGTTAGCAAGCAGGAGTCACTTTGCCCCACCCTGTGGAGGACAGAGGTTCCTGGCCCTGCCGCCCAATCCAGCCTTCCGCCAGGCAGCCATGGAGGCCCTGGACAGTCTCCTGAGAGGAGGGGCAGCAGCGCCAGGAAGAAAAGGCAAGGCTGAGAGATGAGAACGGTGCCCAGATTAATGCCAAGGAAGGGGAAGCAGTAGGGGGGATGGTGAGGGGCTGTGCTTTCAGACAAAGACACCCAGAACGGAGAAGCCTGTGTCCCTGTTCCCAAGCGGCCCCCTGGAGGCTGAGAATCCATGGCCCAATCCCCTCCCCTCTCCCAGTACTGGGGTCAGCCCCGCCTTCCACCGGAGAGGTGGGAGAAGATGGCACAGACTTCTGAGGAGGGAACAAATGTCCCCACAGCAGCTCATGAAAGGAAATGCCCAGCTCTGGGGAAGGAGGGCAGAGGATATGGTATGGAGGGAGCCAGGGTCCCACCGCCCACCCTCTCCAGGGCTGTGCAGTAACCCCCACCGGGCCCCAGTGTGAAGGCCTGTAGCCCAAGGGCCTGGAGGCAGGGGAAGGCCACCTCTGGTGGGTCGCTTAGAGGGGAAAGAAGTGGGGAGAGGGGAGAAGCCCAAAGTGGGCCTGGCGGAGGGCCTGCCAGGGAACTCCACCACTCTTGCCTGAGAGTGTTCCAGCCCTGAGCCACCCTCCCAGGAACCCCACAGATCCAGTCTTGACTGTCCCAATGGGGCAGGGAGGAAAGGTGGCCGCTGGGATTTTTTTTTTTTCTTTTTTTTTTCTTTTTGGTAATAAAAAATTTCTTAGTTTAGGCGAAATACTCTGTGCAACCGCAGTACCGAGGGGGAGCCCTGCCCCCCCCCACCCCTTCCCCTTCTTTGCCTCCTGTACGGGGAGAGGGGAAGGGGGGGCTTCTGGGCAGGGGTGAATGTGAGAGGGGAAGAACCATTTCCCATCCCCCACAAACATGGAAGAAAAAACTGTAAAGGGCCTGGAAGGGGACAAGTGCCAGCAGGGGAGACACACCAATTCATCCTGCAGTTTCTCCCAGAGGGGGATGCAGGGTTGGCCCAAGCAGCCAAGTCCACTGGTGGGTCTCTGCTGCCCCCCTCCCGACAGCCTGTTAAAGCTTCAGCTCATTGGCTATTTTGGAGGCAATGTTTTTGAAGGCCATGGAGGTGCCCGATATCCGCTTAAACCGAACACCGTTGAGAGACAGCCGGGGCAGTTTGCACACCTCCATCTCCCACTGCACAAAGTTCTCGTGGCCTGGTGTGCCATGCATGCACAGCAGCATGTATCGCTCGTGCAGCTCGCTTTGGCAGCTGTTGGCGTCCAGCACCTTGCGGATCTCCCGCATCATCTCATTGGGCTCCATAGAGCTCGTGGTCTTCATGCTCCATGTGAAGCGCAGGGAACGAGGCTTGGCCTCCCGAAATTCTTCCTTTTCCTTGTCATTGCCTCCACTGCCTACCACGTGAGGTCTGTGAAGAGGGTAGAGGGAGGCATAAAATGGGGGCTGAGATATCCCTCCCATAGGGGAACCACCCTGGCAGACAGACCCTGAGGCCGGAGAGGAAAGCAGGAAAGAGTGCAGCAACGGCTGGAAGAGGGAGCAGTTGGTCCCTTGTCCTGGAGTGACACATGGGATATGGGAGGCCTCTGGCTCTTGTCTCTCAGGATGGAGGGGTGAGAAGAAATCAGCTGGGGTAGGGTGACCGTTCCATGCTGTTACTGGTTCTTTTCTTTAGGGGATCAGGCAGGAAACGAGTGCACTGAGAAGCACCAAGCAGACTGTCCTACATGAGGATAAGGATGAGCAGCAAGGCCAGCAGGGGTGGGAACCTAGAGTGACCCCACCCTGCCAGGGCTCTGGTTCCATAACGCACCATGACCCAAACAGGGCTCAGAACTACTGAAGGTAGGTGTGGGAAAGGGAGATCTTCTGAGGAAAGGGAGCCCCCAAGGAGGAGGCAGGGCAGAATCGCTAGAGAAAGAGCCAGTGGCAAGAGGAAGAGAGCAGGAGGCTGTGGCAAGCCCGGTGTCCTGGGCAGGGCCAGTAGTGCTGGCTCCGGCCCTCTCACCTGAGCGTCTCCACTCGGTCTTTGCTTTCAGGTTCATTCAGGTTCCTCAAAAAACAGAGCGAGGGAGAGTTTAGTCTGGGATCTCTCGCTCCTTCCACCCTGCAGACCCAGGTGAGGTTGGGTCTGGGGACATGCCACCAGTGGGTGGGCAGGACCCAAACCCAAAAGCTACCTGCTAGTCATTTGCAGGCCAACAAGGCTTTGCAGTGCCTCACGTTGGCAGCTTCACTGCCCCTTTCTGACAAGGAATCCCAGCAGGGGGCTGTCCCTCCCCATATTCCCGGAGCTCTGTGCTGGTGGAAGGAGCCCCAGCTCTGGGGGAGGAGGGTGTGGCTGTGCAGGCACATGTACCCAGCACACGGCCTAGCATCAGCTGCTCCCCTTCCAGCCCACAGCCAGGCTCAAGCTCGCTACTAGAATGGGGGCTGGGAGAAATTTTTGTGCCAATGACTGGGATGTCAGAATGAAGATGGAGATAAAGGCCATACTATCTGTCTTGAGAAGATGGAAAGCCTCTTAAGAGGCTCACTGTGTCAAAAGTGTGTTATTAGGCAGACACTTGGGACTGGCGCCTGTGGCCCAGTGGGCAAGGCCACTGTGCTGCTGAGTCCCCTACTGCTGGCTGCCAGGCTGGCTGCTCACAAAGGCAAGGGCTGGGCAGGGCCCTAGGGAGGTGAGAAAGAGGTCTGGCCCCGCTGAGCGGCTTCTCCAGCTCTTGCTAAGAAGATGAGTGCCCAGCGCTGGGATACTGGGGGCTGCAGGGGAGAGGAGGGACAAGAAGGAGGAGAGAGCAGCGGCAGCACATGTAAAAGGAGGAGGAAGACACAAGACACAGATGCCAACAAGCGCACTGTGAGCAGGGCCCGGGTGTGCAAGGGGAGGGGCTCCAGCTGCTCTCTCCAGGCCCCCATGGGGCAGGCCCCCAGCCATGCAGTGAGCTGGGGTAGGGTGGGTGGGTGCGGATATGTCAAGATCCCATCTGGCCCATTTCTCCCTCAGCTGGGGAGCCAATGCACCTGCCAGGCAAATCCAGAGCTCCCAATCTGGCCCTCGGTCTGCAGTTTAGTACCTGGCGTACCTAGGCCTGCAGAGGACATGGCCAGGCTGAACAAGCCAGGCTCTGTCCTAGGAAGGGAGATGCAGGAGCAGGGTGTGGGCCTCCTGCTGTTCCACCAGGGCCTGGCGGCAGAATGACCCCTGCCTGAGAATATCCAGCTCTTGGCTCTTTGGCAGGCTCAGGCGACATCTGGAGGAAACAGCCCAGAGGAGAGCAGCGTGAGCGCCAGATGCTGCACCAGGGTGGGCTGGGTCAGTCTGCAGCATCCACCAGAAGAGGGTGCTGTACTACATCTATGAGGCAAAGGCTTCCGGGGCCTGGAGGAGTCAGACTGGACAAGGGACCCTAATGTCCTGTCATGCCACAGTTCAGGGGAAACAGGTCACAGCCCTGAGGTTCAGCAAGCCCAGGGCAACCCCAAATGAGACACCATTCCAAATGCGCCTTAACCCCATTGAGTTTACTTGTAGCGCATGCACACAACATGGAAAAGGGCCAGAAAGGGAGCCCAATGTGACCCCAAACCTGGGTGGGTATGAGGAGAAAATCTTAAAGGGAGAGTCCCTGAGGTCTCTTCTCTTCTGGGGACATGCATTGGCAGACCAAGAGAGGCCCCTCACTTTCAGAGCCATTCCCTTCGAGGGACCCAAAATGTCCTCTCGGGGGAACATGTATTCCAAGTCCTGCTAGTGTGAAGGGACAGGAAGGTCGGCTTAGGGCTGACGCCCCACCAGAGAAGTCTTCATCCCTTTAAGATAGGACAGAAGGCCCACATATACAAGGTCAGCAGAAAGATAGGATGGAAGCATCAGCCAATGGTGGAGTTAGTGATGGAGGCAGGACAAAGACACACACAGACAGACAGACAGACAGACAGACACACAGAGCGGGCTCAACGCCTACCTTCTGGCAAACCTGAAAGACAGATTTCTAAAAAAAAAACAAACAAAAAAGACAAAATAAAAAAAGAAATAAAAAAATAAAATAAAATAAAAACCCCAATCAAACAA